GCTTCCAGGCGGCTTTAGAGCCGCCTGTGTGAAAACGTCCATAGTCTTAATTAGTTGAATTAGGAGAGAGGAATGGGTTTGTGAATAGGTACCAAGTTACAGCACTTTGGTCAGTTAGCAAAATTTGCCAGTTTTAATGAGGTCAAATTGTACAGGAACAGCCATCAACTGTTAATTTCACTAAAGTGATTTTATTATAGCCACTGAAAGGGGGATGTTTAAGTCCGTTTTTGGGTAAGTGTGCTTTATATATATGTAGAAGAAATAAAAAGGAATAAAAAGACATTGGATGCAATACACAGAAGAATTATACTAAAGAGATGACAAAATGAAGGACACATGGAATGAAGAGCCATTTGAAGATGAACCCTAAATTCTAAAAAGTGAGGTGGAAACTGCAATAAGAGAAATCGCGAAAAATAAATAACCAGGACAGATGATATTCCAAATGAACTGATGCAATCCACACTGAGAGAGTCAACTCTAGTGTTAACCAAAATATGTCAGCCGATATGGAAAACAAAACAATGGCCAACTGATTGGAAGTGGTCCATATGCATCCTCACCCACAAAAAGGGAGACACAAGAGACTGCAGCAACTATAAGACCGTAGCACTGATCTCCCACACAAACAAAAACATGCTCAAAATTCTCCAATTTAAGGCCTTTACAGACTGCCAGAAATAATGTAGCTTGAGACCATTTTAACTGCCCTGGCTCAATGCTAGGGAATCAAGGGAATTGTAGTTTTTTCTGAGACATTGGGGCTTCTCTGTCAGAGAGCTCTGGTGCCACAATAAACTACAGTGCCCATGATTCCCTAGCACTGAGCCAAGGCAGTTAAAGTGGTCTCAAACTTCATTATTTCTGTAAAGGCCCTTAAACTCCAACCATACATGGAGAGAGAAATCCCAGTGGTCCAAGGAAAGGAAGAGGTACTAGGGGTCACATTGCAAACATACAATGGCGAATGGAGCGCAACAGGGTATTCCAAAAGAACGTCAGTATGTGCTTTATAAACTATAGCAAAGCCTTTGACTGCATAGATCAGGGGTAGGCATCCTTTTTGAGCTTGGGGCCGGTCCCACGAAGTCCCTCCTGCCGCTGGG